TCAACTCCCAGAATTCCACAGCCAGCCATGCTGGCTGGGGAATTCTGGGAGTTGAAGTCCACACATCTTCAAGCGGCCAAGGATGAGAAACACTGGTCCAGTAGAAGAAACACCATTATCTTTCAAAGGCAGGCCCTAGAATTTTCAGTGCAGGGGGGGACACACACCAAGAGACCCATATCAAGGGGGCAACAATGCCTATTAGCTTACCAATGTCCTGGTCTGTGGTCGAAACAGCCAAGAGATTGAGGTTGGACAGGCATAGCATGTCAATCACCCAGAGTTTGAAACTGTGTCGTCGCTTAGTCTGGTCCAACTACAGTGAGGAAAGAGAGGATCCAAGGACATCATCTTCAGCGTGTTCAATACCACTTGGGAGTTGGGGTCTGGGAGGGGAGATATGTGCAGAGCTAGCCCAACTTCAGCCCCCTCCTCCAGGAACACCCAGAAAGGCCTCTTGTACACCAGTTCAGGAGCTGCAGTTAACTCCAAATGCAGAATGGCTGAACGGGTCTGGGCATCAGGAGGAACTCACGGCCTTGCTCCACCACCACTCAGACTCTGGTTCCATCCCCAAGTGCTGCTCTGACCTCTAAAGATCTTTAAGAGATTGATTCTGGGGCTCCAAAGCTCAGCAATAGGCAAGGCCGGCGATATCCCACCCACAAATGCCCACGCATGTGCTGAAACAGCTTTGTCTGTTTGACCTCAACCAGCCTTCCCAAAGAAAATGCCTTCCAGGGGTCTTTCTGGGGTAACTGCAATTTGCCCTGCATGGAGCCACCCTTGAAGATCACCCAGAAGCTGCAGCATCAAAGCTCTCCTGTTATGATCTCTCCTGTGAGAGCTTCTTCCTTCCAGTTGCCGTTCAAGGTGCTGGTTCTTGTCACCTTTAAAACTCCACATGGTTCGGGATCTGGATAACTACAGGATCACCTTCTCCCAGTGGCTTCTGCCCACCCAGGGAGATGGGGAAAGGTGGACTTTCTCCAGCTCCTCACCTTAAGGAATGTCATCTTCAGGGATTCAGAGGACCACCCTTCTCCGCCAAAGCTCACCGTCTCCTCCTGAGCAAAGATTGGCTCCCACTCAACTGGGTGTTCATAAAGCCATTAAAACGTGGCTATTTCAAACAGATTTGAGGAGAATCAGGAGGAGAACCTCCTGTTGCAAGTCTGGGGCTGTCAGTTGCTCCACAGGGTACTTTGCTTTTGTTATCGTTCTTTATATTTTAATGGTGTATTTTTTGATAAGCGGTGGACTGAGCAGTATATAAAGTAGATGGCCAGGCCACCCGGGGATAATGGGAGTTTTCATCCAATGCCCTGAGAACTAAGCTGAGAAATTCCAGGCCCTGCACCCAGGTCCTTCCTCTTTCTATAAATCTATCAGGGGCTGAATTGTTACTAAAAAAAGAAGTTCTCCGCTGCCTGGGGAGGTGGAAGGTGTAGTAAAATCTCTGCATCATTAACAGAGCAAGCACTCGCGCCGAAAGAAAGAGAACCGGGAAACGCTAAGCGATGCCAGACGGGCTTCCCGGGGGATCCCGGACAACCCCCGTAGCCAACCGGGCCACCTACGTATACAGTCCGGAGCATCTTGAAGGTGTCGCTCCAGTAGTGCAGAATGCCGTCTCTGCTGACAGTCAGAAATCGCCCCGAGGGAGACCTGCTGCCGCTTTTCCAGGAGTTCTCCCGGTGGCCCAAAATTCCACGCGTTTGGCTCGGAAAGAACTGGATCTGGACAATATCCTCCGAGTGGGACCTGGAGGAAAGAGGGCGAGAAAGGCGAGGGCTGCCTGCCCATAAAGGGGGCATCTCTCTGGCTTCTTTCCGATTGCCGTCATGAAGCGCCACGTTGGAGGGAGGCAGGCAGGGACAGGCCTAGGTGAAGATTCCCTCCCAGCAGCAGAAAGACTTCCAGCCCTGCGGACCCAAGACAGGTCTTTGAGTGAACCTTCTCCTGTTGTTTTTCCAAGGTTCTCTGGCCGGGAATCCTACTTGTCCCCAGCCCCAATATTATCCTTGGAACATCTACCCTTTGAGGTGGGCTAGGCAAAAAACAAAGAGAGGGACATCCTGCAAGATAGCACCTAGATCGAAACCATCGTCTTTGAGGCCCTTTGGGGTTGCATGTTTTTTGTTTTTTTCCAGAGCCAGTGATTGCTCTGTTAGCAGAGCCTGGCTCTATTGAACTTTGTACAGGTAGTCCTCGTTTAGTGGCTGCCTCAGACAGCAACCGTTCAGAGTTACAACGGTGATGAAAGAGTCACTTTGTGACCAATCCTCACATTGACGACCTTCGCGGGTCTGTGAAGCAAAGGAAAGCTGAAGGAAGATCATAAGCACAGCCGCAGTTTCACTTAGCGACCGCTTTGCTTAACAACCAAGTTGCCAGTCCCAATTGTGGTCACTAAACAAGGATTCCCTGTATAATATCATAATATCATGAAATATAATGAACTCAAGTTTCATGATTGTTTATTGTTACTGCCTTCTGACATCTTCAAGGTTCTTCAATGATCCTTGATCCTCTGTGAATTTCTGCATATGGATCCCATCCCATTTAAAAAATTCTACCCTCGGGTGACGGCAGCTCCTTTGGAGCCAGCCTGTACATCGGCAAGGCTTCTCTCCTTTCTTCCATTCCATACTTCAAGTTCTAGAAACTGAAGGAAAGTTTTTTCAATAATTAGGTGGGTTTTGTAAATTCCCAGGGCAGAAAAAGGTGAACAGGGAGCTGCTGGAGGCCACCCCAAAGGAGTCCCTTACACTGAGACAGCTTTCATGGTCGTCTGGAATTCTGGAAGCAACTTGCTTTTCAGCATGTCGTCCTTCCCACGATATTCACGAAGCATATAATTCAGATATTCCTCCTGCAAGGAGATGGTCCCTCTTGTTAGGCCACCTCTGCTCAAGATGCTTTTGAAAGAGGGAAAAGGCATCCCTGACCTGGAAGAGCTCTCAAGCTAGAATCCAGTCTGGGGGAGACGGAGCTGAGAAAGGGGAGGGAAATGACACCGAGGCAGGAGGATTGCCCGGAGAAAGAAAGCGAACGAACCAAAGGGGAAAACAGGATGAGGGACACTGTAGTCCAACATACCTGGTGGGCCCCCGTTTGGAGGAGACTGTGGCAATCTATTGTGATGGTGCATCTCTCTTTATCAGAAAACAGAGGCAGATACGGCCCCTTTGGGGACAAGTGGGGTGGGGGTGATTTTTAGTCAGAAGGGGCACGCTACCCAGTCCACAGAGCCGTCACAGTTAGCGTCCACTTTCATGAAAATGACATCGATGTCTTCGTCAGAAATGTCCCCCATGATCTTTTTCATTGCTTTTCGGAACTCGTCCATATTCAGTCCTAACCAGGGCCAAAAACAGAAACTATTAAACCGATTGTGGGGCCTCCAGGGCTGAGGGAGAGGCCCAAGGCACGTTTCCCCCAAAGCCCAGGGCAAGACTACTCTTTCCCCCGCCCACGCAGAGCCGTGCTTGAATTAGGACCCTCACCTCCTTCTCCATCAACATCCGCTTCCTGGAACATGCGCTCCAGTTTCTGCAAGTGGTCATAGTTGATCTGTTCCTCCAGCTGTTTGCAGCGGGCTTCATCGCAAACATCTGCAAGCTTTATCAGGTGCTTGTGTGAGGAGCACAGCCGACCGCCCTTGCTCAGGATCCCCGGAAGCCTCATCTGGGAGGAGGATCAGAGCATCAGTGGTCCTTGTGAGGCAAGGACACATCTGGCTACACACCATCTCTTTCTTGTATTCCAGTAGCCATCATACATAAGTGACCACCTCCGAGACAGCAGGAACAGGAGTCTCCAGTCTGTACTCAGCCAGTTTGCGAACCTTTCATGTTCTGCCTCAGGCCACTCTCTTCTACAAGGAGAGTTGAGTTGCCTCTTATCTCTAGCCTTCAGAGGGCCCACTGGAGATGGAGGATACCACTTGTATTTTCTGCATTCCTGACCTCCCATTCCAAATGCGCACACCCAAGCAAGGGAGGAATCTTCCAGTCACTAACCAAGCCCTGGCATAGCTGGACTGGGCAGCCACGGGTGAACCACTTTCCACTTCACGCTTGGCCTGCATCAAGTGTTACCACTAGACCTGCAAGAGGAACATCTAACAATGCTAATCTTCAAGGCCACTCATCCCCTATCCAGAAGAGCAGTGACATAACCCTGGCCACCCCACGCTGCTCCAATTCCATCTGCGAAACTCAGATGTAAGCTCTGGCGTTTGTAGAACGTTGGGGCTGAGTCAGAAGTTGTGATGGAATGGAATTATGAAGGCCAGGCTCAGAGAGATAAACTTTCTTAGATCGCCAGAAGAGTGTGGGAGGAACAAGAGGATGAGACTGGCACCTCCCTGAGGAATTCACACTGTTGTGGCTGGAGGACTTTGGGACTGGGGTGTCCATTTGGGGAGAGTTTTGGTGGGGGGGGGTGATTAAAAAAATAAAAGGGAAGAAAATTTATTGGCTCTTTGGGGTTCCTTGGGTTGGGTG